AAAATGAAAATCGTTTTTGTTTTTTTAACATATATTTCTAGTTAGAGAAATTTAAGAGGCGTATCCCTCAAAACTGTAAATACAAAAAAGTTGCACAAACTAGTTTCCCACCACAGGAAATTTATTTTAAGTGTCTTCATAGTTTTATTTTTGAAATACACCAATTTTTATATACTGCAGGAAAAACGAAAATAAATATTATAGTGCAAATTTGCAAAATAACAGCATATGCATCAAAATAAACTATTTCCAGCAGTGCAATATGAGTCTTAAGCATCCCAGAAACGACACAGAAAGTCATGAAGTCAAACATAACTTTTAAAAACACAAGCATAAGCTCATGAGGCCACGATGGTAAAAAAACTACATTTCCGCAAAATGACGTCACTTCCGGTTTCGGGCAGGTCATGCGGTCATGTGATAGTTCGCGCTGATGGACGTAGGAAGTGTTACAAACAGCTGATTGGATCGGCGAAGCGTGTTTCTGGAATATCATGTTTTTGTTGCTGCAAGTGATTTTTATGCAGTTTTTGCAAAGCTATATGTGGAAGGAAACTGTGACCTAGGACAAGCTGATGGCATAAGATGTAAGTACAACTCCTCCAGTTTCATATGCAAAAAAAATTATTGCGCTAGCTTACGTGGTTGCAGAGCTACCGGGATTTAAAAATAGCTACGCAAAACAGAGCGTGCCCGCTCCGATCGGCTGTAAAGGGTTAAAGTCCTGTTTGTGGCACATTAGTATATGTGAGGGGGCAAACTCCTCAAGATGGGTGGTGACCATGGTGGCCATTTAGAAGTCGGCCATCTTGGATACAACTTTAGTTTTTTTCAATAGGAAGAGGGCCATGTGACACATCAAACTTATTGGTAATGTCACAAGAAAAACAATGGTGGGCTTGGTTTCAACGTAACTTTATTCTTTCATGAGTTATTTACAAGTTTCTCTTTGTTCACAGCCATTGACATGTCGAAGAGGTTAACACGTGATGAGCGGATCGAAATTGTGTTGATATCTGGTGAAGGCAGTAACCGGGTCATTGCAGCAGATTTCAATGCAAGACACCCTACGAGACCACCCATCTCCCATGCTACAGTCAGCAAACTGCTTGCTAAGTTTCGTGAAACTGGTTCAGTGTTGGATTTGCCAAAATATGGATGCAAGAAAACTGTGACTAATGAAGAAACATCAGTGGCTGTCCTAGCTTCATTCAGCAAGAGCCCACAGCATAGCACTCGCCGCATGTCACTGGAGAGTGGCATTAGTCGAACATCCCTTCGGCAGATATTAGCTACTCACAAATTGCACCCTTACAAACTCCAGCTACTGCAGCATCTCAATGAGGATGACCCAGATCGGCGCACAGAATTTGCAGAATGGGCAAAACAAAAATTGGAACAGGACCCTCAGTTCATGCAGAAGATTTTGTTCAGTGATGAGGCAAACTTTTATGTGAATGGTGAAGTTAACAAACAAAACCACCGCTATTGGTCTGACACTAACCCACATTGGATGGATCCCTCCAAGACTGTTGGAACACCAAAAGTGATGGTTTGGTGTGGTATATGGGGTACAACGATAGTGGGTCCATTCTTCATCAGACTTTTATCTTTGGGGTCATCTGAAGGCAATTGTCTATGGTGTGAAGATTCGAGATGTGCAGCACCTGAAACTACGGATACTGGATGCCTGTGCTGGGGGTCCATAGGGACTAAGTAAAAGCGCTATACAAATACAGCCAATTTACCATTATAGAATGGTTAATATTTTTTTTTAAATCTCAAAATTAAAAAGTTTAGTTTTGCTTCATTACACTTCTGCTACACATCCTTTAAAAACCAGCTTCATTAACAGCTCCTCTCACAGCAACCCCAATTCAGAGTGTTGTTAATCTATCTTAAACTATGTTAAACCAAGAAAAACATACGTTTAATTCTACTGTTGTAATAATTTGGCACAGTCATGGTAAACGGTCTGCCAAGCAACACACACCACAAATCTCTGAATAAATCTCTGCTATTATTTCAATTTGTCCTTGTTAACCTTATTGGCATTACTGCACATCGTTGTTTGGTTCATCACGAGGTTAAGTTACAGCCTAATCTGTCCAGATTAAAAAAGCAACATCTTCCTGAAATTCTTACTTTAGGCTCATCATGTAAATTGGTAACTTAGTTATAACACCCTCCAAACACATATTTGTTTTGATTGCTAAAATCTGGGTTCTCTCCAGATGCCCTTCAACAACCCCTCCCCCTTGCTCTTCATCATCAGCTGGATCAATCATTTTGTGTACTTATGTGTCCACACAGACAAGCGGATGATTGATTGGGGACGACATCAGTGGGCAGAAGAGACCCGTTGCTCCCTAACAGAGAGAATAACTCTCTGTAGCTGCAACTTATTTCGAGAGATTTATGCCTTACAAATTGCCTGTTTAAACATTTCTGAGGGACCAAAACGAGAGGATTTTTACCGTTTCATCATTATCATTACATTTGCCAGGATGATATCTGCCAGAGTTTCTATTTCCTTGTTATTTAATTTCTTCATTAACTTTGAAATGGTGAGTTAGCCTCTCTTTTATCAGTTTTGTTGATCTGTTGATCAGAGTTGCACTGCATGGCTAATGAGGCCAGTATTCAGTACTGTGTTGTCTAATAACTGTAACTGAGATTTAGCAAATTTACAGAATTTACAGTTGCTATACTTTTACTTCTGTTTTAAATGGGCTATTATAAAAACTGTTGAACTGTTTTGTAAAATCACTTAGATCTGAATGCAAATTTATAAAAATAACATTTGAGGTTGGGCTTTGGGGGAATTGGAGGCTTCACTGTGGCAAATGTAATCAGTCAGCGTGACTGAGTTTGAAAAACCTGGACGCTTACGGCAGGAATCCAACAGGCAAGCCTACCAAGTGATATGAACCATATGCCCATGTATGATTTATTTACCTTACTCACCAACAGTATCCTGAAGTTCTAGACACAAAAAGTGCTCAAATTTGGTTAAAATCATGGAGTGATCAGGTAGCCTGGTTAGCGAGTTGTTGTTTTGACCTTCTGCCCACCTGAAGCAACATACAGTGGGGCAAAAAAGTATTTAGTCAGCCACCGATTGTGCAAGTTCCCCCACCTAAAATGATGACAGAGGTCAGTAACTTGCACCAGAGGTACACTTCAACTGTGAGAGACAGAATGTGAAAAAAAAAAATCCATGAATCCACATGGTAGGATTTGTAAAGAATTTATTCGTAAATCAGGGTGGAAAATAAGTATTTGGTCAATAACAAAAATACAACTCAATACTTTGTAACATAACCTTTGTTGGCAATAACAGAGGTCAAACGTTTACTATAGGTCTTTACCAGGTTTGCACACACAGTAGCTGGTATTTTGGCCCATTCCTCCATGCAGATCTTCTCGAGAGCAGTGATGTTTTGGGGCTGTCGCCGAGCAACACGGACTTTCAACTCCCGCCACAGATTTTCTATGGGGTTGAGGTCTGGAGACTGGCTAGGCCACTCCAGGACTTTCAAATGCTTCTTACGGAGCCACTCCTTTGTTGCCCGGGCGGTGTGTTTTGGATCATTGTCATGTTGGAAGACCCAGCCTCGTTTCATCTTCAAAGTTCTCACTGATGGAAGGAAGTTTTGGCTCAAAATCTCACGATACATGGCCCCATTCATTCTGTCCTTAACACGGATCAGTCGTCCTGTCCCCTTGGCAGAAAAACAGCCCCATAGCATGATGTTTCCACCCCCATGCTTCACAGTAGGTATGGTGTTCTTGGGATGCAACTCAGTATTCTTCTTCCTCCAAACATGACGAGTTGAGTTTATACCAAAAGGTTCTACTTTGGTTTCATCTGACCACATGACATTCTCCCAATCCTCTGCTGTATCATCCATGTGCTCTCTGGCAAACTTCAGACGGGCCTGGACATGCACTGGCTTCAGCAGCGGAACACGTCTGGCACTGCGGGATTTGATTCCCTGCCGTTGTAGTGTGTTACTGATGGTGACCTTTGTTACTTTGGTCCCAGCTCTCTGCAGGTCATTCACCAGGTCCCCCCGTGTGGTTCTGGGATCTTTGCTCACCGTTCTCATGATCATTTTGACCCCACGGGATGAGATCTTGCGTGGAGCCCCAGATCGAGGGAGATTATCAGTGGTCTTGTATGTCTTCCATTTTCTGATGATTGCTCCCACAGTTGATTTTTTCACACCAAGCTGCTTGCCTATTGTAGATTCACTCTTCCCAGTCTGGTGCAGGTCTACAATACTTTTCCTGGTGTCCTTCGAAAGCTCTTTGGTCTTGGCCATGGCGGAGTTTGGTGTCTGACTGTTTGAGGCTGTGGACAGGTGTCTTTTATACAGATGATGAGTTCAAACAGGTGCCATTCATATAGGTAACGAGTGGGGGACAGAAAAGCTTCTTACAGAAGACGTTACAGGTCTGTGAGAGCCAGAGATTTTCCTTGTTTGAGGTGACCAAAAACTTATTTGCCACCCTGATTTACGAATAAATTCTTTACAAATCCTACCATGTGAATTCATGGATTTTTTTTTCACATTCTGTCTCTCACAGTTGAAGTGTACCTCTGGTGCAAATTACTGACCTCTGTCATCATTTTAAGTTGGGGAACTTGCACAATCGGTGGCTGACTAAATACTTTTTTGCCCCACTGTACTTCCACCAATGCAGCTGCGTGTGTTGCTTTAAAAAGCTGCAGAACATGTTTAACCTCCTAAGACCCGAACTCTTCCACGGCATGCATTTTTAATTATTCTTTGATATTTGGGCTGATTGGGACCTGATGAATGTAAAAACAAACACCAGATTTTTTTTTTTATCTAATTTTTGTTTCTTAGAAAAATGAGAGCCACAAATGAGGATATTCGTTTAAAATTTCGATAGAACAGTAGCAGTATAATGTCCTCGTAAGTGGATATCAGGCCCTTGTAGAGCAAAATTGAGTATTTTGGTCTAAATAACCCAAAATGTGATGTCCACATATGTGGACGCCAGGTCCTAGGAGGTTAAGCTTTATAACAGAGGTCACAGGCCAATATTAACAATAGATGTAAATAAATAAAGCGATTCAATGTGAAATGTGACTAAAATTACATAACTAAATTGAATATCTTCTTTAATTTTATAATTATATTCATTAATACCAAACAGACAGTTTAATGAACTTTACACCTAGCAGCTCTAAACATATGGAGTCTTACCTGGGATTAATGAAATTGTTACAGGCCTTCGATGGGGTCTGTTTTTAAACTGTTTTTTAACAGAAAAGCAGAGACAGGAGACATCAGTTGCATTTGGTCTGCAGGCTCTTCCTCGTCTGATATATTAACAGAATTTAACAACGCCCTTTTCTTTTCATTTAGATGCACACCTTTCTCTTTTAACAACACAAACACATTCAATTAGGTCCATAGCTCAAACCCTTTTGGTTACCTTGCACTCTCGCAAGAATAAACTTAGAAAATAATCATTGTATATGAGTGTCCTTTACAGTAAATCTGTAACCAATTCTACTGCTGTTCAGCATCAAAAACATTTCTGTGCAGCATCACTAACACTGCAATTAACCTGCTTATATACCATTATACATTCCTTATACTTCAACAGATTCAAACAATATATTACATTTGTAACAAATAAACAAAAATATTCTTCCATTGCTCACAAACAGTTCACAATCATCCACAAACAGTATACATCAGACTATTTACATTTGACACATAAGAACTGGGTAGGTCCTAATCAACTGTAACTTCCAATAATGCCAGGATAAAAGAAGCGTCTTAAGAGCTGCGTTTGTCACAAAATAAAACAGGTAATAAGACCAGCTGCCTATTTAGACTACGAGTGAAATGGCGGCTGCCATTACAAATGGCGGTATAGTTAGCTTTCTCTCAATCGGTGAAAACACACTCTCTCACAAATTCGCGGTCTTTAAACTAAGACAGAAAAAGGTTTTCTTGGTTTATATGTACATTGCAGTGAGCAAACTTGAACTACTGACCTGTTTTTTAACAGAAAAGCAGAGACAGGAGACATCAGATGCGTTCGGTCTGCAGGCTCTTCTTTCTTTCTTTCATTCTTTCTTTCTTTCTTACAGTTATATTGGCGGTTGGCACTGCAGGCTCTTCCTCGTCTGAGGCAGAGAAGCGTTGCAACGGCCTATCGCACTCGCCTCTATCTCCCCCTTGTGGCAATGCCACGCAATTACATTGTCCATAACTCTAAATGAAAAGTGCAATACCACCATAAAATCAGGTCTTTTACATCAAAAATTATTCACAAAAAAATTACAATTGTGACCATACACTTGTGGGCGTCACAAAATTCTAATTATAAGTAGGCTACTTTAGCTTTAAAACTGTAATAAAATAAATAACAGAGAATTTACAAATGAATAAACCATTTGTTTTATGAATTTTGACTAAAATCTATTTCCAGACTAAGCATTAAGCAAAAAAAATCTGTTTGCATACTGTTAAATTGATCCAGTTTCCATCCTGTTCTTGGTGAAGTCTAGACAAAGCTTTCATCAAATTAAAAGGTTAAGTGGTAGATAGGCCATAGGGAGCTACTGGTGATTAACAGGACAGCGAAAGGTTTGCCATCTTTACTGATTTCTACTCTCAGGTCTAGTAACAGCTGACTGTTATCAGTGAAACGACCTCAGAAATATGGATAAGACTTCAGGTTTGGAAAATTTGTGTGTGTTTAAGGGGCCAAACCAAATGAACCTTTATTGGCAGTCATCCAGTAGCAGCATAACCAAACAACATAAAGGGGGTTATAGTCCACAAAAGAAGGGCATGGATTAGTTACTGTGGGTTGTAGTGCGGGAGAAAACATTGAGATTAGCATAAAAAGTCTTATTTTATTTGACTTGTTACTTTTTAAAAAATAATTGATTTCAATGGATCATGCCACCACTGGAGCTACCGGTAACTCTTTCACCAATCAGACGTAGCCATGCAGTCACATGACCAGATATAAAATGGCGGGCCGAGCAGCCCAAGCCTTTCAAACTTACAAAGATGGATAGAAGAAACACATAAAAAAAATGGCAGAAGCAACCGTCTCCGCTAACACTGAACAGGACAAACACCCTTGGCCGCATATGCAAAGCATGTTTCGCTTTAAAGGAGTACAAAAGGACAGCTATATAATGCGATGTCTTCTGTGTGAGCCAGAGCAAAGTGACATTTCAGCGTACAAAAACTCAACATCTAACCTGAGGAAACATTTTGCGGTAAGTTTGCTCTAAATTTTTTTTTAGCTGTGGTTAAGTGGATGTCAGTCTTACAGCCGCTGTGTCGAGCTTGATTCCTTGAGAGTCGGTGTACTGCAACTTTTTGATGTGTCCATAATCCAACACACATGAATTAAATGGCTGAATTGCCACTTCAGCATGCAGTCAAGTACTTTAGAGTCTTGCTAATGACCTAATAATTTTATTTGGTCTGTCGCGGTGAGGACAATTTTAATAGTTTCAGGACACTGGCCCTCGAGGACTGGAGCTTGACACCCGTGGGTTATAGAATCACAGTCTTAGGCTTTGCCCATATTAGAAATGAGATGATTTAAAAAAAAAAGCGCATATCCAGAATCACTCCCTTTCTCCTCGAAACTACATTAGTAATTAAGCCGTTTTAATATTTTTCTTTTCTCCACAAGTGACTTTTTGTCCTTACTCTTGCTTCAGAGAAGTACAGTTATAAGGTGTAGAAGTTTATAAATAAGAAAAGCTAAACATTTTTTTTTGAAGGAGAATCTATTGACTAGCACTGCTAAGCCTTTCGTACGTTCTTGTTTTGAACTTTATCTGGAATTTGTTTTTTTCTTTTTAGCACAAACACATGTAATGCAGGCACGACTTTGTTTCTCTTCCCTTCCTGTCGTCTTTGGGTCAACACAACTTAAAGCACTGATAAATATTGTGTTTTACACCTGATGCCTAATGATATCCTCCACACTATGCACTTGAACATGCACTTGAAGTGATGATCACCTTGTTCATTGAATTTTGAGTGTTTTAATCAACATTGTTACACCTGTGGTGTTTCTGGACAAAAGTGACTGCCATAGGAAATGAGTTGGTATCCACTCACTGAACGGCCCACTTAACTAATTTGGTGGTGAAAAATGTTTTTTTTTTTGTGCTAGTTTAACCCTCCGGTCGTGTTCATCACCCACCCCAAATAGTTGAACATGACAGCATGACAGGAGGGTTAAGAATATGGGAACATTGTTTTTTATTTTTTTAAACTGTATAGACATTGCTTAGTCACATGTCATTTCATGCTCTTTTTTTTTCTGCAAACAGAGGGGTTCACTCCAACAAAATGAGGATGTATACAGAATTAATGGACAGCCACAGAAAACGAAAGTCGTTTTGCAAAACTTACAGATTCTTTTACTGGCTCTAGGTGGATAACACAAGCAACATTTGAAAAGCTTCTGCTTACGTTTGATGTGAGGCCAACCAACCATTTTCTATAGTTGAGACATCTTCCTTCAAGACTATTTTAAAGTAATGCTACTCTTACTTGAGTACAATTTTTGGATACCAAGTTTGGTTGTTCGAGCCCTGCCTGCTCCAGTCTGCAAGTATCCTCTTGCAAGATACTGAACCCCTAAACTGCTTTTCAACATGTTCATCAGATTGTTAATCTGTGTGATTCACTTCAACAAGTGTAATATAATAAATGAATTAATGGATTTGTAGTAGGTTTTCCATACATTCATTACAGCTACATCCCAAAGCACAAGAAATATCAAATGAAGGATAGTTCACTATCCTCCTAGATATAATAAGAAAAATAATTTTTTTTCCTGAGTTTTCTGGCTTTCTTGCTTACTGTGCATCACGGTATGACCAGATCCTGGATTCACGGCTTTGCCCAGGGAAGCCCCTGGCTAAGGACTTAATGGACTTAGTGAACTCTTTTAATCTTGTTCAATCTGTTAAGGGTGCCACTCAAGAACAAGGTCACACATTGGACTGTGCTATCATATGAGTTATGTGTCTGTAACTTACATGTCGAGGATACTGTATTCTCTGACCATATGCCCATTTTATTTGACATTGTTCCTCTTAGTCCTGTGATTAAACAGGTTGCACCTGTCCCACACTGTCGTGCCTTCGGCTCAGATACTGCCGAGCATTTTTCTACACTGTTTGACCAACTTTTGTCCCGTCGTCTGAGTCGTCCACCTCAGATGGATTACTCGTTTATCTGGACTTTTTACAGTGTAAACGCAAGACCAGTCCTTGGCTAACTGGTTTTACTCGACTAGAGTCAGCAACATTGTCCATAAAGACTAGATGATGTGAAAAATGACGGGCTGCACTTCTCTCTGGAAGCTCTTAATCAATACCAGCCTCTTGTCTGGTCAAGTACCAAAGGAGTTTAAGAATGCAGTGTCCATCTTTTACTTAAGAAACCAGGCTCAGACACTTCAATTATGACAAACTTCAGACCCATCTCTAAGCTTCCTTTTCTGAGTAAGATCCTGCAAAAGATTGCTCACACTCATCTGATTGACTATCTAAACGATTTTCAAATCCCAGAAGCTCTTCAGGCTGGCTTTAAGCCATTTCACAGCATGAAGACAACCCTTATAAGGGTTATAAATGACATTTTGTTAGCAACATACTGTGGTAAACATGTATTGCTTGTTTTGCTGGATATGACACAGTGGATCATGACCTACTGATCTCCTGACTACAGTGTTGTGTAGAAATTTCCAGCTTAAAATAATAAAATCATATCTCTCTAACAGGAGCTTTTGTGTTATATTAGGTTCGGCTTCATCCTCTGTAGCCCCTCTGCCATGTGGTGTACCACAGGGATCTATTCTTGGGCCATTACTGTTTTCATTGTATCTCCTGCCACTAGGTGCGATCTTCAAAATTTCATTTCGTCTATATGCTCCTGATTGCCAGCTTTATCTACCTTTTAGTCACTCTGATAGCTCCTCGATTGGACTCCTGCTTGATTGTCTTAGTGATGTTAGATCATGGATGACTATAAATTTTTAAAATTTTAATGAACGTAAAAAGGAAGCAATTTTATTCGGTTCCAGTTGTCCCTCTGGTACCCCAGAAGTTGACTTTGCTGCTCTCACTCATTACCTGAAGAGCTTGGTTACATATCTTGCGGTAAAAATCGATTCTGCACTTACCGGTAGTTTCGATGGTCATGTTAATGGGGTGGTGAAATCTTCATTCTATCACCTCAGACGTCTGTTGAAGGTTAAGCCTTTTCTTTTCAGGCGTGACTTGGAAACTGTCATCCATGCTTTATAACCTCAGGCAACTCCCTTTTAATAGGGGTTGGCCAGGGTGCTATGTTAGTCCTGCAACTGGTGTAGAATGCTGCTGCACCGTTTTTAACTGTTAAAAGAAAATTTGAGCATATTACTCCAGTTCTGGCCTCCTAATACTGGCTTCCAGTTGAATTTAGGATCAATTTTTAAAAGTAAGTACTGAATATTATGTCACTTATTTATGTGCTAATGTTTAATAATGAAGAACATTAAGACATTACTGTTGGCCACATGTCGGCAAAGTTATGTGACATTAACGATGTTTGTACTTTCAGCGTTAACTTGGTTTTAAAGCCTTTACTTTAAAATATACGCTGTTTACTAGTTAACCTTAATCTTACAGAGAATGTGATGATTTTATGGATAATTAAAGTCAGTCATATATCCACAAACACAACAGGCTGAAAGTCAGTGATGCTGCTCGGTTTGCAGTCCTGAATATCACGGTACAAGCAGGATTCACTGCACTGTTAATGTTAGCTATGTTATATTGCTGCCTCTGTTCGGTGGTGTCGAGCCAAACGGACTTTAAAGTGTGTTGAGAGTGAATGAATACTGGAATTGTAAAGTGCTTTGAGGGTCTCGAAAAGCGCTATATAAATGCAATCCATTATTATGGTTATGTGTTATGTGTTTGTATACCTTCTGCCCAGTTTGACCCATTTAGCAGAAGTCAGCCTGTTTAAGGCTCTGATATCTATTCTGTATGACTTAAAGCAGTTATGACATGGTCTGATTTTCTCACCCAATAAAGGAATATTTAATATATCAGTCTACTCTTCATTTTATCAGAAACGGTTATCACAGCTCGTACGTTTCCTTTTTACACATATATGTAAGCATTGAGCCAAATTTAGTAATGCCAACATATTAAATGAACAATATTTGTCTCTTATATATAATACATCTATATATACACTGTCAAAGATACTTTTCTTTGAGTGAAGATTTAAGGTGATAGGTGATAAGGTGATAACTTGAATCTTTTTTTTAATCTCAGTATTTGACAGAGTTCAAACTCACTGCTGTAATATATCATAATAATCTAATAATAACTTTAATATTGGCCATATTATATTTACATTACCAAAGTGAGATGACTTTAGTTTCATGAGCAACACAAGCTAATTGTTATTTACTAACTAATCTTAATAATGACTGCTCAGTACAGAAATGAAGCCCAACTACGTACTACGGAGCGTGCGGTCGCTGGATTGGGACACAGCTATAGTGAGACAAGGGGAAAGCAAAACTAGATACACTGCACATGGGACAGTGACTATCAAAATAAAACAGAAAGCATGACATTCATAAAGACGCAGACTAGACACTGAGACGTGGAAACATGGAAGACTTGGGAACAGAGGAAACATGAAGTACAGAGACAAAAATAACTGGAACACAGAGGTGTAGTGACCGAGAACAAAGACAAGCATACAACACAGAGAGAAATAATGATATAAAAAGACTACAGAACAAAACCTTCACTAGCGAGACGACAACAGGATCACAGGGGAGACACAGAAACAGAACAGCAAACCCGAAACTAAATACAACACAAACAGAAAACAATTATTCAAAGAAAACAATTTAAATCAAAAACACAGACCCAGTGCCGTGAAACATTCTAGAAAACGGTTTTAGGTTGAATGTGTTTAGATGAATAATAATAAATAAATAATATTGTCAGGTAAAACAACTATGACTATTAACAAGAAATGCTGTTTATATACTGAATATGCTGTTTTACAATGAATTCAGAATGACATGCTCTGGTATTTTATTTTAAAAATTATCCAAATGTATGATACTAGTATCATAAAGTACAATAAAGTACAAAAAACATATTATTGTCAAGGCGAGTGGAGTGGGCCGTGTGGAGATGATAAAGGAGGATCCAATCGCAGGCACTTGAAAAGGTGTGAAGGTGGTTTATTGAACACAAAACACAAATAGAAAAATGGCAAACAGAACGGCAGACTATCTAAACTGAGAACAACTAAACCACTAAACACGAACCAGAACACGAACATGAAGGACGATAGACAGCAGGGAGAACACACGAACAGAACATGGTAGATACACAGCCTACAATGTGACTACAGTGACTACAATGACAGAAGACACGACTTAAATACACCCAGAGAAACACAGGGAGATTACACACAGGTGGTGGACACAGCTGGAAGTAATTAACGAGATGGGACAAGGGAGGTAAAATTGAACACACTCACATGAGACGCAGACCTTCACAATAAAACAGGAAACAAGAGATCACTACACAAGGACGCAGACTAGACACAAAACTAAACCCACACAAAACATGAGAACACAAAACCTGCGAACAAAACCCTAAAACAGAACCACAGTAATATAATATAAGTTCGATTCCTGCCTGGGGCGTCTGTATCCAGTAAGGGTCCTAAGGCTAGACCCCCTATGCTAAGCAAGCCTACCGCAGACATGAGCGAGACAGATAAATATGAAGGCATGCCGGCTCGGACGTCGCCCGGATCAACAAGGTCCGCGTCAGGTGTTGAGGAACCAGGGCACCCTGACGAAAAGTGGGCTACTGGAACAAGAAGGCATCGGTGGGCAAGAGACGAAAACAGGGCATTGTTGGAATGCTACTACGCAAGTAACCCTGGCGGAAGGGGCTACATGAATAGGATGAGGGACCTATGGATTCTTCGATACCCAACATCCACAATGACGGCGAAACAACTAGTAGCTCAGTGTTCCAACATTCGAAAGAAGGGACTGCTCTCACAGCTAGAGATTGACGAGGTACAACACAAATGCTACGGCAAGGAGGAGTCAGGACGCCAGGTCAGGGGGGAGATATCATCACCCGAGATTGGGTACATAGCCCCAAGTGCGATAGGAGAAGGATCGTTGAGTGCGAGAGGAACTGACCTGAAAAATAGGATCATGGCCAAGCTTGAAACCTGGATCCCCCGTAGCCGGTTACCAAGATTACGTGAAGTACCCTCAGAAGGTCTGCTAGATGATGTTAATGCAGCACTACGGACAATACCTACAACCACGATTACCGACACTAACAAGCTCATCTACAATACGGCAACAGTGATTGGCTACAAGTTGAACAGCGACAAGGGGCAGTACCCTCCATGGAGAAGGAGGCTAGAGGGCAAGATCAAAGTAGCACGGAGGGAGGTTAGCCAACTAACGGAGTTGCAGAAAGGTGCGACAAATAAGGTGCCTAAGAAATACAGCAAGCTGTCCATACCTGAGGCCTTGGAAACTGCCAAGCAAAGACTCACAGCCTTGGCCAGCCGCTTGAGGAGGTACACCAGAGAGATAGAAGGCAGGAGAATAAACCAGCTGTTCTCCACAGAACCAGCAAAGGTGTACTCTCAGTGGCAAGGGAACAATAAGAGAACAGCACCACCAAGGCTGGAGACGGAGCAATACTGGAAGAGCATATGGGAGAAGGATGCAACCCATAATGGCAATGCTCAGTGGCTAGAGGATCTGAGGGCAGACCACAGCGACCTCCCTGAACAGGGTCCAGTAACCATCACAGTGGCAGATATCCAAGAAAGGGTCTCCAGTATGAAGAGTTGGACAGCACCAGGGCCCGACATGGTTCACGCCTACTGGCTGAAGAAGCTGACTGCACTCCACGAGCGTCTGGCAGCACAAATGAACCAGCTGCTAGTTAACGAGAGACACCCGGAATGGCTAACTGAAGGCCGGACGGTCCTGATCCCCAAGGACCCCAAGAGCTTGAAGGATAAACCGCCCGCAGGGGCGTGCTGGGTGTTTATATATATATATATATATATATAAAACACCCAGCACGCTCCTTCAAGCTCGGGTCCTCTACCAGAGGCCTGGGAGCTTGAGGGTCCTGCGCAGTATCTTAGCTGTTCCCAGGACTGCGCTCTTCTGGACAGAGATCTCCGATGTTGTTCCCGGGATCTGCTGGAGCCACTCGCCTAGCTTGGGAGTCACCGCACCTAGTGCTCCGATTACCACGGGGACCACCGTTACCTTCACCCTCCACATCCTCTCGAGCTCTTCTCTGAGCCCTTGGTATTTCTCCAGCTTCTCGTGTTCCTTCTTCCTGATATTGCTGTCATTCGGAACCGCTACATCGATCACTACGGCCGTCTTCTTCTGTTTGTCTACCACCACTATGTCCGGTTGGTTAGCCACCACCATTTTGTCCGTCTGTATCTGGAAGTCCCACAGGATCTTAGCTCGGTCATTCTCCACCCCCCTTGGGGGCATCTCCCATTTTGACCTCGGGACTTCCAGGTTATACTCGGCACAGATGTTCCTGTACACTATGCGGGCCACTTGGTTATGGCGTTCCATGTATGCCTTGCCTGCAAGCATCTTGCACCCTGCTGTTATGTGCTGGATTGTCTCTGGGGCATCTTTACACAGCCTGCACCTGGGGTCTTGCCTGGTGTGATAGACCCCAGCCTCTATGGATCTTGTGCTCAGAGCTTGTTCTTGTGCTGCCATGATTAGTGCCTCTGTGCTGTCTTTCAGTCCAGCTTTGTCCAGCCACTGGTAGGATTTCTGGATATCAGCCACCTCCTCTATCTGCCGGTGGTACATACCGTGCAGGGGCCTGTCCTTCCATGATGGTTCCTCGTCTCCCTCCTCTTTCTTGGGTTTCTGCTGCCTGAGGTATTCACTGAGCACTCGGTCAGTTGGGGCCATCTTCCCAATGTATTCTTGGATGTTCGTTGTCTCATCCTGGACTGTGGTGCTGACACTCACCAGTCCCCGGCCCCCTTCCTTCCGCTTAGCGTACAGCCTCAGGGTGCTGGACTTGGGGTGAAACCCTCCATGCATGGTAAGGAGCTTTCTTGTCTTTATGTCAGTGGCTTCTATCTCCTCCTTTGGCCAGCCTATTACCCCAGCAGGGTACCTGATCACGGGCAGGGCGTACGTGTTGATGGCCCGGATCTTGTTCTTACCATTCAGCTGACTCCTCAGGACTTGCCTGACCCTCTGCAGGTACTTGGTGGTTGCAGCTTTTCTAGTGGCCTCTTCATGGTTCCCATTCGCCTGCGGGATCCCCAAGTACTTGTAACTGTCCTCTATGTCTGCAATGTTGCCTTCTGGTAGTTCAATCCCCTCAGTTCTGACTACCTTCCCTCTCTTTGTTACCATCCGACTACACTTCTCCAGTCCGAACGACATTCCAATGTCATTGCTGTATAGCCTGGTAGTGTGGATCAGTGAATCGATGTCTCGTTCACTCTTGGCATACAGCTTGATGTCATCCATGTACAGGAGGTGGCTGACAACTGCTCCGTTCCGTAGTCGGTATCCGTAGCCAGTCTTGTTAATGATCTCACTGAGGGGGTTCAGGCCTATGCAGAACAGCAGTGGGGACAGAGCATCTCCTTGGTAGATCCCGCACTTGATGGTGACTTGTGCTATGGGCTTGGAGTTGGCCTCTAGTGTTGTACGCCACATCCCCATTGAGTTCCTGATGAAGGCTCTTAGGGTCCCATTGATCTTGTACAATTCTAGGCATTCCAGTATCCAGCTGTGGGGCATTGAGTCATAGGCCTTCTTGTAATCAATCCAGGCAGTGCACAGGTTGGTCAGTCTGGTCTTGCAGTCTCGGCTGATTGTTCTGTCTACCAGTAGCTGGTGTTTTGCGCCTCTGGTATTTTTGCCAATTCCTTTCTGTGTCCCGCTCATGTATTGACCCATGTGCCTGTTCATCTTAGCCGATATGATGCCTGACAGGAGCTTCCATGTAGTACTGAGGCAGGTTATTGGTCGGTAGTTGGAGGGGACCGGTCCCTTCTTAGGGTCCTTGGGGATCAGGACCGTCCGACCTTCGGTTAGCCATTCCGGGTGTCTCTCGTTAACTAGCAGCTGGTTCATTTGTGCTGCCAGACGCTCGTGGAGTGCAGTCAGCTTCTTCAGCCAGTAGGCGTGAACCATGTCGGGCCCTGGTGCTGTCCAACTCTTCATACTGGAGACCCTTTCTTGGATATCTGCCACTGTGATGGTTACTGGACCCTGTTCAGGGAGGTCGCTGTGGTCTGCCCTCAGATCCTCTAGCCACTGAGCATTGCCGTTATGGGTTGCATCCTTCTCCCATATGCTCTTCCAGTATTGCTCCGTCTCCAGCCTTGGTGGTGCTGTTCTCTTATTGTTCCCTTGCCACTGAGAGTACACCTTTGCTGGTTCTGTGGAGAACAGCTGGTTTATTCTCCTGCCTTCTATCTCTCTGGTGTACCTCCTCAAGCGGCTGGCCAAGGCTGTATTGTGTGTGTGTGTGTGTATATGTATATGTGTGTGTGTATATATATATATATATATATATATATACTATTGTCAGAACATGTGATCAATATATAAGCGTAAAAGAAATTTCCATCACAATATATTACAAGTAGTAATTTAATAATTCAATCACTGTATTGAATAAAGAGCTAGATTAGATTAGATAAAACTTTATTAAGCCCTCGGGTGGGTTCCTTTGGGAAATTCAGCTGACATGCATTATACATTGCAAGTAAGATAGTGAAAGCAGGAAATGTCACGTCCAGAGGAATCATTCATTATGTTGTGTTTAAAACTAAACACAGACTTCTTTTGTTTGAAGCGTTTATATAACTGCCATGCTCTCTCCCTTTTACAGTTTCAGAAGAAAATAAACACCACCTACATCATCCCTTACCCAAGACCTGCCATTGTAACTCAACCTGTTGACATACATTACAACTTCTGCAAGTTAAAACCACTGTCCCCTGAGGAGACTCTTGAAGAACAACTTCTGCTGGAGTCCTTTGCTTGGCCTGAAACCCCATCTTTACCATCACCTCTTTTTATGAATAGCAGCAGTGATCCAGCCCACAGCACCTTCACCATTCTCCCCAGGAAGAGAGAGGGACAGTGGCAAATAGGGGATAAACTGGAGGCCCTGATCAAAATATATGACTTCATGGGCCGTCCAAAGAAGTATGGGGCAGACGTCTTACTTGCCCGGCTGCACAACCCCACCCTTGGTGCTGGTGTTGCAGGACAAGTGGTGGATCATCTCAATGGTTCCTACTCTGCTGTATTCTCTTTACTCTGGGAAGGAAGCGCACAGGTTGAGGTGATGATAAAACTTTTAATTTTTATTGTTACTGGAGTTGTTGCTGGAGTCACTAAGAGTTTATCTATGTATTTGTAGCAGATTTAAGATAGGAATGCTTAATTTATCCCATATTCGTGAACTTTATTGTTGCATCAACTGAAATGATAATGAAATAAAAAGAAAAAAATAATAACAAAAAACAATAAGACTAGCAATAATAAAATAGAAATAAAAACTAAAAATAAAATAAAATGTGTGTATCTTAGTGGTCAAGGGCCATTCTTTATGTTGATAGCTAGAGAATAAAATAAGTGTATGAGCAAAGATAAGTGATTAAGAAAATAGCACATCACTCTGTGATGACTAATATTTCTGTAGTAGCAATATTTAACTGGATAATGAGGCACTTAGCTTTGAGGGACACTTAATGACTACATACTTAATGCTGTGCTAAAGCACCAATGCCAAACATTCTTATTGTAGACAGTATCTTAGCTGTTCCCTGCACCTAGTGCTCCACTTACCACAGGAACCACTGTTACCTTCCCCCTCCACATCTTCTCAAGCTGTTCTCTGAGCTCTGAGCCCTTGGTATTTCTCCAGCTTCTCATATTCCTTCCTGATGTGGCTGTCATTCGGAATCGCTACATCTATCACTACGGCCTTCTTCTTCAGTTTGTCTACCAGCGCTATGTCCTGTTGGTTAGTGTTAAGCCTTCTCCTGGGCAGGGGGGGGATTTTACAATACAACAACTCAATGATGGAGGAGGCAAGACAGAATCCCTTCACATAAGTAAGATACTTACTTAATCCCTAAGGAAATTATGTGGCATTGGAACCTTGGCAGATGATGAGCAGTGGAGGTGGACAGTCTCAGGCTCAAAAGATATGAGAGGCTTGAACTCATCTGGAATGGGAAATAGGCTCGGGCTCACCTTCAGGGTCAAGGCGCACAGGACCCACAGGTGTGTGCAAGTGGCTCAGGTTGTGTGTGGATTCATGGACGTGCGGTCTCCCCAGGATGTGGGAAGCCTCAGAGTAAAGAAAGCTAATGGTCACAGGAATAAGAGGTGACACATCAGGAGACGCGGTGCTTCCTGGTGCCAGATCAAAGGTTCAGACCTATCCTGGCCTGCAGGGACTATTTATATCAACAACTTCACATTTACTGTAGCACAATGAAGTTCTGTCTTGCTTAATAATATTTAACAGTTCCATGTGCCAGATACATGTTATATATACTTCTGTGAGACCCAAATTTCCAAACTTTGATTAATTGTCCTACCAGGTGACACTGGTTCATCCCAGTGAGGCAGTCACAGAGCTGCGCAGGGTGAACATAGAAGAACCCGACAGGATCTACTTCAAGAGTCAGTTCCGCTCGAGCTTGCTCACTAGAACAACCACCTGTAACGTATGTTTACGTCCAACCCAGCCTGTGTGCAACTACACAGATTTACGTACAGGTGAGCCATGGTTCTGCTATAAGCCAGAAAATATGAGTTGTGACACCAGGATCAGCAACTACAATGGAGGATATAAAGAAAGCCTGACAACCATGGAGAAGCTTTTTCAGAGGTGAGCATTACCTGTGGTGTTCAATTTTTAGAGTTACTAAAATTAAAAATTAATACAAGGGAAAATAAGTGCTACTCTGCAAATGCTTTCAAAACACATAAAATAAATTCCCTCACTTTTTAATATTTGCTAGAGAGGGAATTATGTAGCTTGCTACCTGGAAAAATGTTCCATATTTTCTCAATCTTGTCTGAAGCTTAATGATTGGTAGTTTATAACTCGAGCTATTTTTGCTGCCTACTGAGCCTAAAATTTTCATTGTCAGTAGTTGTGTACCATTGTTACCTAAATATGACAATGATAAAAATTTTAATTTGATTGACAGTATTTAATACGTCTCTCTAGTTTAAAAATCATTTTAATATTTTCCAATTTTTTTGAAAAGATTTTATTGTGTGTACTTTCCTCAGCGGCGTAAACATGAAAGTCTCCATTCCAGCTTCAGGTCCTGCCAATGTCACTGTTTTTCCAAAGCAGAAAGGTAAAAATACAAATCTTACTGCTAACATCTATATCTTAATCTCCATCTCTATATCTTCCCTGGCCTCTCTGTGGGGATGGTTTTCGCTCTGTGTCGTAGTGCGATGACACACAGTTTGTGCTCCAATGGTCAAACTTTAAATACGTATTTGTATTCGTTAGTTTATGGTACACATCAACTTTTAAATGTCCCTCATTACTCGTGGAAGCCTCACAAGAAGGCTAACCTGCCACCTTTTTCCTTGGTGAACATGATGTATTGTTCCACTGAGTAAATGTGATCAGTGTTTCGTGGTAAGTCTTGAGAGTTGATTTTCACCAACATGCCTGAACGAGGCAGCATGGTGGTGCGATGATTAGCAAGAAGGTAAAAAGGTCCTGAGTTCGATTCCAACACCTGGCTGTGGCCTTTCTGTCTGGACTTTGCATGTTCTCCCCATGTTTGCATTGGTTCTTTCCGGGTACTGCGGCTTCTGACCACAGTCCAGGGTGAATCTGGGTGCAAATGGTTGTTCGTCTCCATGTGTTAGCCCTGTGACAGACTGGCGACAAGTCGAGGGTATACCCTGCCTCTCGACCTAACTGGAATAGGCTCCAGCCCCCCCAGGACCCTGAAAAGAATAAGCAGGAGAGAACAGATGGATACCTGAACCAATGATTTTATGGTGTTCCAGTGTAGGACAGCAGAGCTCTCTTTCTCACTCACCATTAACAAATTGACTGCAATGGGTGAAATTGGGGAAGCCATCGTGCACCCATAATTCTCCTTGTAGTATTGACCGTCGTATGTGAAATAGGTGGAATTCAGACACAGTTCTCAAAGCAAACACACTTGGTCAGTGCTGAGAGTGGTCCTATTACTAAGGTGGGGTCGTCCTGTAATCTCTTACGAAATACCTCCACTGCTTCAGTGACTGGAACACAAATGAAGCGAGATGTAAAATTTTACGAGACCATGGTTTTATCTGCCTCCATAATGTCATCTCTCACCTTCCTAAGAAAATCCAAAGTGTTCTGGATGAGGTGTTCAGAGCTGCCAACGAACAGGTTGAGGATCGAAGCCAGAAACCTGAAGATGTTATAGGTAGTACATTGATGCTAAAATGTGTTTATCTCACCCGTTAATTGAGCAGCTGGTGCTGTGCCTTCTGGAGGACTTTTGTTGTTTGGAGGCCCTTAACTGAAGAGCACATTTGCAGATTTCAGGGAGTAATCCTGTTTTTTTTCTGCATCTGAAGCTGAATCTCAAATCAATTAATTACGTGTGAGCAGTCTCGTGTTGACACCCTATGCTTAGCCTTTGATTAAGTAATAAAAATTGATGTTCACATGGTGTACCCTGACACAGAACTGACATTTACACATTCTCTACTGATTAGAGATAGACTGTATTGAATGAGTCCAGACACTCACACAGAATACCAACACACCCACTTGTTGCCAAAAAGCTGCCGGGAAATGATTTTCCAGGCAGCCCGCCCATATAACCCTATGAGAAGGCATATGGGATATGATAAAAGTCGTGGCGGGGGTGTGGTTTGTTGGCCTGCTGCAGAGGAGGGGTGACACAGTGAGCGGGGAGGCAACAGGTGTACAGGACTGCTTTAATGAGGGAGATGTCTTTTTTTGTTCCCACAGTGAGATGGAGCAGATGATGCTGGCAGAGAGACGGAGTGGCTGCGTTCAAGGCGGGTGCCAAAAAAAACGCAGATTATTGTCAAAATAAAAAGACACTAAGCATAACATGTGTGTGTGAGGGTCCTGTGTCACAAGTGCTGTTGTTGAAATTCAGGGCCAAAACGCATAGAGTTAAGGTGGCAGTTAGCCCGCGCCTGTCGCATCCCCTTATTTTGGGCACGGATTGGTTCCACAGCTTATTGGGGCAGTACGCGGGGATGCGATCGCGGTCTGTAAATTCGTGTGATGTTTGCGCGGCGCTGAGCAGTGATGTGGGGTCGACTGACACCGACTCTGGGGGGGAGGAGGTGGACGGGACTTCTACAGAAGCCCCACTGCCTCCCGTTATGCACCCCACTGAAGATTTTCCACTAGAGCAGTCTCGGGACGACACCCTATGCTCAGCCTATGACCAAGTGATAGATATTGATGGTCGCTTGGTGCGCCCTGACGCTGCGCGGACTTACCCTCATTTCCAATTGCGGAACGATCGGCTTTATCGAGTGAGCCGCGACACTCACACTAATGAGATCCGCACCCAGTTGTTGGTGTCGCAAAGCCGCCGGGAAACGATTTTTCAGGCGGCTCATTCGAACCCCATGGCAGGGCATTTGGGTTGTGAGAAAACTCTGGAGCGCATAATGGCCCGATTCTATTGGCCGGGAATTTGGGCCGACGTGCGCCGCTGCTGTGCGTCGTGCCCAGAATCCCAGCTGGTTAACCAGCTGTTTTATTGCAAGTTCTATTGCTACAAACAGGTTAAGAATAGACTTTGTTTGTTTCTTTTTCATATTAAGTAAAAAACACACACAATTGTCTGTTTTACTGCTTACCAGGTCAGTTAGAGGTGAACAGCAGTAGTGTGGAGTCTGAACCGTCTGGCTATTACTACCAGGGTGTGTGGCGAGCACTAGATGGGACCACCGTTCATCAGTTCAACACTTCCTCAGCCATCACTCGGTGTCTGAAAGGAAAGCTGGTCCATATGTATGGAGACTCCACAATGAGGCAGTGGTTTGAGTACCTTAATGCAGCACTACCAGGTAGCTGCTCTGCAAATCTGGCAAACAACAATATTTTATTTACACTATTTTATTTATGTAGTTTAACTTATTCCCTTTGGAATTCTTTTAGATCTAAAGGAGTTTAACCTTCATAGCCACAAATCAGTCGGACCTTTAATGGCCCTGGACTATGCAAATAACATCTTTGTGATGTTCCGCGCCCATGGTCCTCCTCTACGTACTTTCAGTGTCCCATCCATGGAGCTGCATTATATTGCCAATGAGCTGGACAATGTGCTTGGAGGCACTAACACTGTAGTAGTTTTTGGCATCTGGGCACACTTTGACACTTTCCCTGTTGGGTTCTACATCCGTCGACTGATGTCCATCCGCAGTGCAGTGGTACGGCTACTGTCCAGGGCTCCAGGCACAGTGGTTGTCATTCGGACTGGAAACCCCAAACCTTATACAAGTCTTGGTGCATTTGTCCACAGCGACTGGTACACTTTTCAGCGGCTAAAGGCACTCAAGGCTATATTCAAAGGATTGAATGTCCATCTGGTGGATGCCTGGGAGATGGTTCTGGCCCACCACCTGCCACACAGCATGCACCCACAACCTCCAATTATCAAGAACATGATTAATGTTTTCTTGTCATACATATGTCCGCCAAAGGGCGGATTCACTAGTTGGGCCGACTTCCTCATTTTAGGTTTGAAAGCATTTAGTGGGTAAAGGTGAATGCTAGGACATGAATTGAGCTGCGGTTTCGGGAAGACCTCGAAGTGGTTTGGCGATGGCTCCCGGGCCTGGCAGATCCTGTGGGGATGAACAGAAAAGTATTTTACCAGCATAATATACAGTGGGGCAAAAAAGTATTTAGTCAGCCACCGATTGTGCAAGTTCCCCCACTTAAAATGATGACAGAGGTCAGTAATTTGCACCAGAGGTACACTTCAACTGTGAGAGACAGAATGTGAAAAAAAAAATCCATGAATCCACATGGTAGGATTTGTAAAGAATTTATTCGTAAATCAGGGTGGAAAATAAGTATTTGGTCACCTCAAACAAGGAAAATCTCTGGCTCTCACAGACCTGTAACGTCTTCTGTAAGAAGCTTTTCTGTCCCCCACTCGTTACCTGTATGAATGGCACCTGTTTGAACTCATCATCTGTAGAAAAGACACCTGTCCACAGCCTCAAACAGTCAGACTCCAAACTCCACCATGGTCAAGACCAAAGAGCTTTCGAAGGACACCAGGAAAAGTATTGTAGACCTGCACCAGACTGGGAAGAGTGAATCTACAATAGGCAAGCAGCTTGGTGTGAAAAAATCAACTGTGGGAGCAATCATCAGAAAATGGAAGACATACAAGACCACTGATAATCTCCCACGATCTGGGGCTCCACGCAAGATCTCATCCCGTGGGGTCAAAATGATCATGAGAACGGTGAGCAAAGATCCCAGAACCACACGGGGGGACCTGGTGAATGACCTGCAGAGAGCTGGGACCAAAGTAACAAAGGTCACCATCAGTAACACACTACAACGGCAGGGAATCAAATCCCGCAGTGCCAGACGTGTTCCGCTGCTGAAGCCAGTGCATGTCCAGGCCCGTCTGAAGTTTGCCAGAGAGCACATGGATGATACAGCAGAGGATTGGGAGAATGTCATGTGGTCAGATGAAACCAAAGTAGAACTTTTTGGTATAAAGTCAACTCGTCGTGTTTGGAGGAAGAAGAATACTGAGTTGCATCCCAAGAACACCATACCTACTGTGAAGCATGGGGGTGGAAACATCATGCTATGGGGCTGTTTTTCTGCCAAGGGGACAGGACGACTGATCCGTGTTAAGGACAGAATGAATGGGGCCATGTATCGTGAGATTTTGAGCCAAAACCTCCTTCCATCAGTGAGAACTTTGAAGATGAAACGAGGCTGGGTCTTCCAACATGACAATTATCCAAAACACACCGCCCGGGCAACAAAGGAGTGGCTCCGTAAGAAGCATTTGAAAGTCCTGGAGTGGCCTAGCCAGTCTCCAGACCTCGACCCCATAGAAAATCTGTGGCGGGAGTTGAAAGTCCATGTTGCTCGGCGACAGCCCCAAAACATCACTGCTCTCGAGAAGATCTGCATGGAGGAATGGGCCAAAATACCAGCTACTGTGTGTGCAAACCTGGTAAAGACCTATAGTAAACGTTTGACCTCTGTTATTGCCAACAAAGGTTATGTTACAAAGTATTGAGTTGTATTTTTGTTATTGACCAAATACTTATTTTCCACCCTGATTTACGAATAAATTCTTTACAAATCCTACCATGTGGATTCATGGATTTTTTTTTCACATTCTGTCTCTCACAGTTGAAGTGTACCTCTGGTGCAAATTACTGACCTCTGTCATCATTTTAGGTGGGGGAACTTGCACAATCGGTGGCTGACTAAATACTTTTTTGCCCCACTGTAATCTGCAGTATGATCATTGCTTTAACAATGTAACAGATAGCTTTAAGATGGCCTTAAGATGTTTATGATGATATTAACTTTGTATTTCAGGTGCAGTTATAACTATTTTATACATATTGCATATCTGTGCTTATTTGAGTTGATGTTCAGGTTCTTTAAAGGTTTTAAGCCTCACTGACGTGACTGTTCAGGTGATACATGCTGAGGGAAAACTAGAACATAGAAGGAATTGCAATACATGCTTACAAAACACTTATATCAGGTCATTTTATATTAAGGTTTTAGTAGAGGTTCTTGGTTAAAACATTTATTTGGTAGAAGACATACACATAGTCTCAGTGAGCTTCTGGTCTAGTGAAAGGTCAGAAGTGCAACAGGTGAATTGAGAAAGAGCATTTGAGGACGAGACACAGACAGTAGGAGGTGAAGAGGTGACACAAAGAGCATGTGAGGTCAACACGTACACACACATTAGTTAAGATTTATTTAGAGGAGAGATTAGTTAGGTCTAGACGAGAAAGAGGAACAATTCATTTTAAGATAAGAACGGAAAGTACCAAGCCATGAAAATAGAAGATGATTTTCTGGGTGAAAAGTCATGATGATGTTGATCTGATCTATGTATAAAATGTACCGGTGACGCATGAAGGGGCGTCAGTAAACAAACCCTGATGTTATAAAATAATTGTTTGTGCCTTAGTAAGTTGAAGATCAATTGCTGTTTTCAGTGATCTTCCCACGTGTGAATTAAAATCTTCGTTTGACTTCACCCGGCCGGACCAGTGTGGTTATTTTTCGATCACCTCTTGTACCCTTTCTCAACTTTTGAATCTTAACATTTGGGGGCTTCGTCCGGTGGTTGAGTAAGGGAGAAAAGTGGAGGTGTGAGCGGTGGTCCGAGGTGGTCAGACGGGCAGACTTGGCCAGTGGTCAAAAGTGAGTGGACGCACGCCGGCGCATCATATTTAAAAAAGGTAAGACACTACCTGTTGAATTATTTCCAAAGTGTGTCAAATTGGGCTGTGAAAATTAAAAGTCTACTCACTGAAATTACTGGTGCATGTCTGTTTTGATTTTGATAAGAATCTGAGGATTTAAAGCAGTTGGACTGCTGGTAATGATTGAATGCGGTTGGACCGTTTAGTATGTTAGGGAATCTGCTTATTTTTTGGTTATAAGGTTGGACCTGCTTCAGTTATACACTTGTTTTGGGTGTTGATTGTTGTTTCAAAGTATTATAAATTATTTTAGAACGGAACCGTGGGGTTCTAGGAAGCGCAGAGCCCGGAGGTTACACTCCCTCCTTGTCGTGGACGCGCGACATTGACCTCTCGGCGAAGAGGGATAGTTCAGTGTGGCTTAACTGTGGGGTACAGGGCATCCTGGAATTAAGCTAGGAGTTAGAGTCTCCTTACCGTTTGGAACGGTATCTGCGCTTTTTTGGGCAGCAAAGGTTGGACCTTGGGTGTTGGACACTTTTAAATTGAGTTAGGGATTTTAGAAATGAGGCCAGAAACAGTTAAAGTCTTGATACTGGTTAATTGATCGCAAAAAACTCAGGGAGTTTATCGGTTAGACTGTTATGTTAAATTTGTCGAAATTCGATAGGTGTTAAAACGTTTAAAATCTGTGCAGTTGTAAATATAAGACGTCTCTGTAATAAAAAAAGATCTCTGTGGGTCGAGTCAGCAATGCACTGACTGCCTGCTGCCATTTTTAGATGGAGAGTGTGTGTGCATGCAAATGAGGCAGCTGATGCAGAGCGCATGAGAGGACTATGCTTTCGGTTTTGTGTGTTATTCAGCTCTATAACTATTGTTTGCAAATGTGGATAAATGTCTGCAATTAAAATGCTGGCTTAGTAAATAATAACATTGTAAATATATGAATGGTGACAGCGTTTCAAAATAGAATATAAGAATTGTTTGTGTGTAAAACCAACGTTTAGGTAAGAAGATTTAAGGTGGATTTGAAGGCATAAACAAAAAATAAAAGGGTTACAGTCTGCAAGTGTTGTTAATTCATGAGCTGACTGGATGCAGAGTAAGTGGAGTGGTCATCCTGAGAGGATTGAATGATGCTCTAACTCTGTGGTCAAGTCAGACATAGGCTTTAAGTAACCATGAGCCACTAATAAGCGTGACAGATTAATGAGTATGTGTAAATTGAACTTGTTAAATAGCCTTAATAGAAGTAACTCAATGAACACGCAATAAAGTGGACTTTTTAGGGGTAGTTTACCACTGATACCATAAAAAGCAACTTAATTAGTAGTTCAATAACAAATTTTAAAGATAACCTTTGTTATTTGATAAGAGAGAGAAAAATTCAGGTTACATATAGTAAATAAATAAGGAAATGTTAATCTCTGCGTCACTCCACACTGAAATTTCAATTGTAGGGGATCATTTGGAGGTGAATTGTGTAGGACACGGGGAGACAGAAGAATCTCCCCATGAGTTTTCGGTGTGCATAGAAACTGAGGAGGCTGAACTGGAAGCCTGCCTGGGTCGTTGTTTTTGTTTATTTGAGGGTCTGCTGGAAGTTTGTGAAAACGACCACCTTGATATGTGGGAGCCTTCTCGGGCAGCGATTTTTTTGTTAAACCTGTGGCAGGCTGTGCAACATGGAGAAAGCTTTGACATAATGTCATAAAGGTGATTTCTTGGTTTTAGATTTATTAGTACGGGACAAGTTGAGGGACCCTTGAGGGTGTGTTGCTGTAAAGTATATAAGGGACGCGCAGCGCCGTTAATGGGTTTAAAATAAATGAAAAAACGGAAAAACACTAATCCGAGGAACTATTGGAGAGGTAAGTATACGGAGGTGAGCGCGTTGCGCATAAGGGTTGCTGGTGTCATATATTAACACTTTGAGGGCGAATAATTTTGATTGAGTGTTAACGCTTGAGAACGCGAGGACAGCGTTTAAAGTGCTGGGTTAAACTTTGTGTGTCACCGAGCAGGGGAAGAGGAGCCAGTGGTTGCGAGAACAGCGAGACGAAGACTGAAACCGAAAGTTAAGCGTGTCTGGGTGACCTAGACCTAGAAGGTGGAGTCGACCAACGCCGTTGGAAGAGGTAAGTCTGTGTTTCAGAGAATGGCTGACAGCTCGGGTGCGACACCTAGTGGGAAAAGGGGATGCAAACCTCTGAAGGATCAGCTTGAACAGCTTAAGAAAGCTATTCGTTTGGCTTCACCTGGAGCATTAAAAGCAGCAGAGAAAGAGTGCCAAGCGATGGAGGTTGAGGTAAGCAAACTTATTACATCTCAACAGAAAGGGCTGGGTGATAAAATAGCTCTGAGCCTGGTGTTAAAAACTGAGGGAAAGAGATGTGAACAGAAATTGAAACAATTTGAAGAGGAGTCCAAGGGACATTCAGTGAACAGGAAAGCCA